AATGGGTCCTGTGGGTGCTGGGAACACCAGGCTGCTTCTTTTCGCTGTGCCCGCTTGTACGAGTTCACAGTGTTTGTGGGGTTACTGACCCAGAAGGGCTTTAGAGGTAAGTTTGGTGGAGCTAAGCTTACAAGCTTTTTTTTTCTGGAAAAAGCAGATTCTGTTGCTGTCCTTGCATTAGGAGTACAGTCCTGTGTTCAGCTCCAGTGGGCAGAGGGAGGTATGGGTGCTGCCGAGGGATTAAGCAGTAGGGCAGCAGGAGGTAGCAGGAGGGCAGCCAGCAGGCAATGCCATTCCCAGCTGGAGCTGGGTAGCCCGAGTATGGGAAACTTCCTGGAGGCTTTATTTTGTTCCCTCATGGCTGTGTTACCTGTAGGACACTGTAGGTGACAGAGACATCCCATGGCCCCTGGCAAGCAGTGGGGTGGGTGTGTAGGGGGGGTACAGCTGGGTGCAGGAGGAAACACCCCACTTCCCTGCTTGCTGTCAGGGGCTGTTATGGAGAAGCGATAGCACTCAGGGTGGCAGGGCTCACCTCTGGGGACTTGCTGTGGCCATCGCCTTCCTGTGGAGGGGCTGCTTCGAAGGGAGGGTTGTGAAACAGGGTGAAGGAAAAGCAGCGGGATGGTCAGACTGCTTTTACTTTTCCGATTCCTTGTGTTTATACTTTATTAAAAGTGCATCACGCTATTAATAAAGTGCTGTGTGTTACACAACATGCTTTAAGGGCGTGTGAGAAGTGGAGTTGGGTGGGTGACACATTCTTGCCTTCCTCTCATCTGAATTTCTCCCAACAGATGCGGTCTTGTAATGTGCTTATGTTTTCTTTAAGCTGCCTTTCCAGATGTGAGTTATCCATCAAAAATAATTCCGGCAGCCCCACACCAGCTGGGCTGTCCTAGTACATAGCTGGTTTTTTTTCAAAATGTTTGATGCTTTTCTTGAGAAAGCTTGCTTTGAAAGAGCCCATTTTGGGTGCTTGTGGAGATCTTTTGGGTGTTCCTTGGTTCCCTCACAAATATGATGAGCTGAGTGTTTATGTAATCTAATAAATTAGCACAGCAGAAACGTGCTGTTTTCATGCCAGGTCTGTGAAGATGGTGGCTTCTTTGGGAAGGGACATGAGTAAAAGTAAAAGCATAAGCAGCAGTAACTGAAAATGTGGAACCTAATTTCTTCTGCATAGTACTATAAAACTACCTCAGAAGTGCCCTATGTCCATTCTGTTTATAAATTCCTCTCAAAATGAGGTTCTGGGGAGCTCTTGTTATTGTTGCTTTTCAGGCTGCTGTTCACTTAAATGTACCGTGAGGTATGAGGGGATTTTTTTTTTTTTTTTTAATTATAATACCATAGTTTTACCCTGCTTTGCAGCTGGAACAATTTTTAAGTGGAAAATTGATAAATATTTGATGGCAATTAGTAGCAGCCACAAGGATACTGAGATTTCAAGCCTAAAAATACCCATTTGAGAACAGTGGATGCAAGAACAGTATAACAGATCTGTCAAGAGACTTCAGGTCATTGAAAGGTGTTTCCTATTTTGTTTAATAAACGGCATGTAATGAAACATGAAAATCCTGAGAAGGCTTTTTTAAGTGGAGATAAACCAACTTTCCTATAAGAACTTCAGCTCTCATTTGTGTTTTTGAGAGTGTAATATTAATGCATCACTAACAAGTTTTTATGTGATGTATTTATATATATGCACTTGAAGAAATGTGCAGTTAAATAGTAAGAACTTGCTTTTTTTTGATGCATTTTCCAAGTGATATGGACTACAGTAATTGCAATATGGAATAAACACATCTTCAGGTCTAGCAGCTTCTGCACAAGAAGGGAAATCTCATATTGAAAGGGCTTAATGAAGATGAAGCCAGCAATGCTCAGTGCCATATAGACACACTGTGCGATTCTAGAAAAAGCTTACGATGCTGTAGGAAATCCATAATGAAGAATTATGGAAACACAGAATCACAGAATGTTGGGGATTGGAAGGGACCTCGAAAGATCATCCAGTCCAGTCCCCCTGCCGGAGCAGGAAACTAAATGAAATTACACAGGAAGGCATCCAGGCGGGTCTTGAATGTCTCCAGAGAAGGAGACTCCACACCCTCCCTGGGCAGCCTGTTCCAGGGCTCTGTCACCCTCACAGCTGTAAAGAAGTTTTTTCTCAAGTTTAAGCGGAACCTCCTGTGTTCCAGCTCACACCCACTGCCCCTTGTCCTATCATTGGGCATCACTGAGAAGAGCCTGGCTCCATCCTCATGACATTTGCCCTTAACATAGTTGTAAACATTAATGAGGTCTCCCCTCAGTCTCCTCTTCTCCAAGCTAAAGAGCCCCAGCTCCCTCAGCCTTTCCTCATAAGGGAGATGCTCCACTCCCTTAATCATCTTCGTGGCTCTGCGCTGGACTCTCTCAAGCAGTTCCCTGTCCTTCTTGAACTGTGGGGCCCAGAACTGGACACAATATTCCAGATGCGGAATATCGGTCAGCATGAGTGCTGGAAGAACCTTTTTGATGAAGGAAAGGTCTGGAAAGTGGAAGGGTGGGGCAGTGCTCTCCTTTCAGGTGTTCAGCAGTTTTGGAGTTTCTCCCATGGACCAGAGTAATAATCCTCATGTCGCCCACACGTGCAAGTGTGGTGGGTTCAGTTGCTTTATTCACCCACGCAGGGATGCAGTAGATGAGACACTAGATAATCTGGTGTCCCTACCGTGCTGTTGGGCAGAAATCCTGGAAAAGGCTGCAGCCAGAAGGCATTGTTTTCCCAGCAGCATTATCCCTTCCTTCTGTTTTCATCCCCAAGGGAAGAGCCTGCGGGAGTGGCTGCATGTTGGCAGTGCATTGCACACCCCTGTTTTGAGCGGTAGCCAGGGTGCTGCGCTCTCAGCGTGAGCTGGAGGCGCATTGTGGTGTGTGCCCCTTGCTGCGAGGGGACCTTAATCCATCTTTAGTGGATTCAAGAAGGAAATCAAACAGGTCAGAGGTTTGAGACCCAAACAGGTCAGTCCAGATCTAACCAACCTTAAACCTCCAGCAATTAGGAGCTAGATCCTGAAATGTTTAGAGTGACTGCCAGAGACGGAGTGCAGAGCCTTTGTCATGGGTTCGGCTTTCTGAGCTGGGATTTTTCATTCATTAAATAACAGGACGTGATGAGGATGGGAATCACAAGAAAGGAAGAAAGTTCTGCCTTGTGTCTCTGCCTTCAGAAGTAAGAGAGAATTGAAATCAAATGTCTGATCATGTTTTGGAAGCCAGCAATTCCTCTTGTGTTTGTCAGATGAGACATAAATTCTCTAATCTTTGTGTTTCACCTTCTCCCAACTGGAAAAAGGGGAAGATACATTGATTCACCTGTGTGAGTGCTATGCTGAGCAGATATACCAGTATTCAGCGATACACTGGTGCTGTACTGGTGTTGGGCTCTTGGAGACCCAATTGCAAACAGTGTGTCTGTACATGTGTGAGGTTTCTAACTTACCAAGTTGCAGAAGCACATGTAAAGACAGATTTCCCTCCTGCCCAGTGAAGGAATGATAATGCCTTTCATATGCTTGTGACTGTGTGTGTTTTATCCTTGGAAGTAACGCAGCTGTCCGAGATAGGTGCTGAATTAATTTTTACAAAGTACTTTTAACATGAAAAGTGCTGCTCTGTGGAAGAGCCAAATTTAGGTGTGAGTCCTGTGATTAAAAACTTATTTAGAATGATGGACCCAATTTTCCGGGAGATCTGAGTGTCTCCAACCCCTTAAATAACCCAGATGCTTCAATACTACATCACTTGGCATCCAGCATAAAAGTGTGTAACACCTGGCAGAACCTGGAAATTTATCTGAATTGTCATATAGCTCTGATTGAACAACTACCACTAGTCTAAAGTATTAATTAAAAAAAAAAATAAATTGTTGGATAATGTTGCCTCTAAAAACACTAAAAAAGTATTTTAAAAAAAGCTTTATTCTCATTGAAACAGAACCTGAAGAGCCTTTTTTGTCTCTGTGTTTGTTTGTTTACTTGCTTTTTTTTTTCTTAGAACTATTTTGATGGAAAACTTTCCCCTCAAGGGAAAATGCCTTGGATTGAATACAATCACAAGAAAGTATCTGGCACTGAGTTCATTATTGACTTTTTGGAAGAGAAACTTGGAGTGAATTTAAATAAACACCTCAGTCCACATGAAAGAGCTGTTTCCAGAGCGGTGACAAAAATGGTGGAGGAGCACTTCTACTGGTAAGCTTGCGTGGTGAAACTGGTGGTGTTCTTGTGCTGTCACATCTGCCCCTGCACTCCTGCCTGGATGGGAATGATTATTTTCTCTTGCAGAAAGCTTGGGTACCCGGTTATTGATCCCCCACCTCTCTTCACACTAGAAAACTGCTGCTTCTTTCTCTGTATGCTATAGTGTAAGCCAGGGGTAATTCCCCTGAAAACCTGTCGTGCTGGGTAAGCAAAGGAGTCGGGCCCTTGGCCCGCAGCTTTGCCGAAGGAGCAGCGGTGGGTGAGCTGTTTCTCCAACCTGTTTTCATGTGACCTCTGTATAGAAACAGCCTTGTTAATGAAGAGCAAAAAATCCAGATAGCTGAATACATTTGTGGTTTGGGGGGGACGCAGGGGAACAAATCCAGTGTTTGTAGTGAATCCGGAATATTGTGTTCTTACAGTTATTGATTATAGTTATTTGTGTGTGTGATTACAATGTGGATTATTGTCTTTCCTGTAACATAGGACACTCCTGTTAATATGTGTCATTGACAACACTGCCAGTTGGTAGGATACACTGTTAGTCACAGTATCTTGAGAAGCATAAGTACCTGTGTGAATGGAAAACATAAATATAACCTTGCTGGTGCTTTATGTATTTTACTGACATCTTTGAAAAGAATGCCTGTGATTTCCCCCCTACTTCACATTTCTGTCCTTTTTAAGTGCCCTTTGCAGTGTGGATTCATAGAAGTGGACATGGCATCTCGGATGCTGCATTGGCTGCTACAGCAGGCACCAGACTTTTCCCCAATAGTTTGCTTTCTAGCCTGCATTTAAGTCCTTGCTGTGCTAAGTCTTGCATTCATAATGCCCTTTTTTTTTTTTTTCTTCAGAACAATGTATGATTTAAATTGAATGCATTTACCTCCTTTTTCTTTCACCTTGTGATTGAAGATGAGCAGCAACATGTGTACATGTAGTTCTTCAAATAATTTTTAGTGTTTCCTGGGAACAATTTTAACATTCAGTAGGAAAACTTAAATGATATGGTTTCGAAATGTAATCCCTGCCTTCCAGGAAGTGTGACCTTCACCAGTTATGTACATTTGCAGTGCCATAGCCTCAAAAATCTGACTCAAGTAACCTGCAAATGTAACTTTTTTCTTTTTTTTAAAATTATTATTCATTTCCCCCCCGCCTCAGTTATTATAGCTGCCAAAGGGAACATGAGGCCTTTTAATCCTCTAATGCCCCATCTCCTTGCCTTAGTGTTGGTTGTTTTGTAGTCTGCAGACTTGACTGCTTTATATGTAACATGACTGATGACAAAGTCACACTGCTGTTGTGTCTCAGCTACAAGCCATGCTTTCCTTTGTGGAACTGTGGTATGTCCATGCAGGCTCCCTCTGAGCTGGCTTGGCACTGCTGGACGTGACATGACGTAGGGGAGCGTGGGGGACAGGTGTTGCAAACTCAGGCATTGACCCAGGGAGGTGGCATTGAAATGGGTGGACAAAGCAAGACCAAGTAAGAAGAGAGACGTGTGTGGCTGGCTGTGTATCCCTGTTGCCTTTCTTGTTTAGTCACATAGCTGAGTTTCCCCAAGGCATGTGTTTTTGCTGCAGTGTAGTAAAACACCCAACTGTGTGTCCTTGCTGTGTGGCTATACCAGAGTCTTGCTACATTGGTGAAGTCATACCATGCTGGTTCTCTGTACTAGGCAGAGCCTGAGCTATGAGGCGTCACAGTTGTGCCGCTGTAATTCCTGGATAACAACTTGTTACACCATTTTGTAGTTACACCAAAATAGCATCAGGCTTTAGCTGTGTCAGACCGTGCTTCTCCCTGACTGCATCGCATCTGTGGTTGTGGGATCCCTTCGCATTGGTCCTTGAACCTGCCCACTTCCCACCAGAACCTTGGGGTTTCTTCATGGTGTCCTCAAGTCCCACGGTGAGGAACTTGTAATTGGGGAAAGTGATCTCCTTTCTGCAGAATAAGTTTTATAAAATCAAGCCTCCAGAGCAGTGATACAGAATGTGATTCATAGCGTTTCATTGCCAGCAGCATGCAAAGTAGCTTCATCATAAATAAGTAATACTGTAGTACATTTATTGAACAGAGGGGCAAAGCGCATCCTGTGGTGTGCTGTCTCTGGATGGAGCTGATCCTGGTGGGTGCTCCCCATCTCCTCCTCCTGAAACATTTTGCTTTTGCCGAGGTAATTGCTCATCTTCGCCAATTAGTGCCTCTTAGAGGTGGAAATCGCTGCTCAGGCTGGAGTTGAAAGCAGTGCAGGGCTGTTGTGAACCGCAGCCCCGAGACACCCTGCCTCTGCCCCAGGCTGCCGTGCCTGGCAGGGGGAGAGTCAGCAAGTGAGTGAGCTTACCAATTTTAGCGCTGGGACTGGGGCATATCCGAGATGCATGAGTGATTTGGAGCTGGCACTGGAGCTCCTGTCCCTGGAGAATGCTGTAACTATTGGGCTTTTGCTATGTTAAAATGAGCAAAAGGAAAAAGCCTGCTAACCTGGATGGGTGTTGGGCCGGGTCAGCAGGGGAGAGCTGGGAGCAGACCAATTCTGTGGCTCTCGCCTCAGGTCCTGGGTCTGATGCAGACCTCGGTTATCTGCTGAAGGCTTGCCCTGGGTCACCTCCACTGCCTGCAGTGACCTGTGGGCCCTCAGAAACCAGTGGGGTACCCACAGCCATCTTCAGGATGTGTTGGGTCTTTGTTGTATCTGCAGCACGTTTGTGGGATCAGACCTCTGTGTAAGACAGGCTGGAGCATGGCGGATTCTCGCGTCCTTCTGGTGCTGGCGTGCTGGGCTGGGTGGCAGCCCCTCTTGCCTGGAGGGGTAGCAGTCACTGCCAGGTGCTGCCTGCCACTTCAGTCTCAGGAGAGGGACCTCAGGTCGATGATGCTGATGTGCTTAGTGAGAACCTACAGCCTTGAATATGCAGCTTCAGCAAAATAACCTGTTAAATTGGTTTAGCTGTATTGTCAAACACAACCTTAGTGATTCATTAAGCGTGTGTGTGTATTTATATATACATACACACACATACATACTTAACTCATTTCTGGCTTCATCTTTCAAGAAAACCATGTAAACATCACATACATGATTAGTGCTTGAAGTACAGGAAAAGCATGGTGTGAGAATACAAATGAATCTGACTTTGGTTGGTGTTCAGACTTGCCATGTATTAAACATCAAATATGCTTATAATATAGATATGTTTAAATACATCAAGCCAATTATAAGTGACGTCCTCCCTGCTACTAACAATGATGAGGCTTGAATGCCACTGGCAGCTTAAAAGCCAGTTGATCTGGGATGGCTCACAGCAGGTGAGGTTTCTACAGCTGATTATGGAATGAATTCATTATAATCCTTTCGTGTATCAAGACATTCCAGTCTGCACAAGTTCACATAGGAAAAATAACCCCCAGTTCACATCCTTGTGAGCACCTCCCCCTTGCCTTGGTGTTCAGGCAATTTGGGGATAATCAGGCAAGCCGCTGTTGATGAGTCACTTTCCCATCTCCTCTCCTGATTTATGTATTGAGGCCAAAGCTGCTGTTACATTTAGACTTCAGATTTGCTTCACCCCTGCAGCATTGCTCTTGCCCATTATTGTTTTATTTATACTCTTTAGGATTTGTACAGATGTGCTGACACAAATGGGAATGTTGTTGCTTCCCAAAATGCTCAATTCAGGCCAGTATTTAAAATAATTATGTCATTCTATAAATACTAACTGTAGTTTGAAATATATAGTTATGCTGAAGTAGGTTATGTCGACTGACAGGTTTCTGGCATTTCTGAACCTTTTGTAATGTTGATAATACTCTATAATGTAGTCTGAGCAGAGAGAGGATGGGTGGAATTAAATGCAGAGGAGCATGTTTTGGTAGGAAGCACAGATTAATGAACCTTTGAATAGAATTCTTTTAACAAAGCGATTATAAAGCCACTTTTAAAAGTGCTTTTAACTGTCTCTCTGAATCGGAGCCTGCTTTTTTTCTTCGCTTTTGCATGCTCAGAACCATATAATTTTAGAAGTAAACTCTGTGATTGTCTCTTTAGCTGCCTTAATTGCCCATGTAAATTTGAGATTTGGGACATGTGACAACTTTACTCATTCAAAGTGACAAGCAGATGTCTAAGGTTGTGCTTGATAGTTTAGCTGAAGCAGGATTACCTAAATCCTGTGTAGTTCTGCTCTTCCTGCCTTGCTGTCCTGATCGTTAAACACTTCATCTGATCTCTGCCTCTTCCAGACCCAAAGACCTCCTCCCCCAGAGCAAGCATGCTCTAGGGAAATGAATTTTTGCTTTAAAGTATAGGCTAATTAGCTTTGTGGGAAACCGTGTTCGTCCTGCCTCCGGAAATTAAAGCCATCCTGGACATGGTTGATCATTCTTGGGGCAGTGCCAGCTCACTGGTGTGGTTGAAGTGAACAATAGTTGATGGCAAGTCCATAGGGCCAAGTTATTCTTGTGTGACTGGGGTGACTTTTAAAAAAAGCCGCAGCAGTTTCTTCTCTTCTTTTTCTGTTTTGTTTTGTCTTCTTTTTCTTGTTGTCCCTCTCTGTGGCCAAGCCTGTTGTCCTAAAGCAATTGAGCTGTGTTGCAGGGTTGCTGGGTGAAGCTGGTCAGATCCATGCTGGGGAAGGAGGATCTTTGCAGCGAGACACACAGCAGTGCTCTCAGAGAGCAGGTTTTTCTTAGCTTATTCAAGTAGTAAGTAGTAATTTACAGATACAGATAGTATTTGTCATTATTTCCTAGTGTTTGCATCAAGACCAGAGTTTTTCTTCCTATTCAGAGCTTTACCTGCTGCCCAAGGGACCTTGTCCTTTCCCAGGTCTGTGAAACACAACTGTTGACACGTTCTGCTCTGTGGAGTGCCCTTATGCTTTCAGCCCAGCCTTCTTTCCATCCTTCCTAAATCCTGTGTTACCTTTGTTCCTGGAGCAAGGCAGCCTCACACCGCATCTTCTAGTCAAAGTTCATAATTCTGGAGTTCCAGTAGCTGTTTGCTCCTGTGCTTGCTGGCTTCACAGTCCCCCTTTTGTGCTGGTGCCTCTTGCTAAATCTGGCTTTGTTTCAAACTCCACTGTGCTGAAACCAGCCCAGTGACTTGAGTTGATCCATTTGTTTTGAAAAACAAGGGTTGTGCAGAACACCCCTGCTCGAAGAGTGGGGCTGATGCGTGTGAAACGTCAGCGGGATGCTTTTGTTACATTAATATTGTACAGGAGGTTGTGGAGAAACATGTTGAGGATAAAAGCCATCAGAAACATTGCGGGTGCATTTTTGTTCTTCTCTGTCCACGCATTTGCAGCAGAACCTGCACATACCTCACTGTGACAGACTTGAATGAAATAAAATTGAGCAGAAGGCCTTGTCCTGCAGTGGACAATTTTTAATAGAATTAAAAATAAAATGCTCTGTTGCAAGCATTCTAAATTTGAGCTGTGGTGGGGTTTTTTTGTTGTTTTATTTTTTCCAGCTGTTATGCTAAATATTCTCCTTTTACCTCATGATGTTACTGGTAATTGAAGTGAAGAATCTGTGGAAGCTTAAAGATTAGAACATTTGCCAAGGAAGTTGTGGATGCCCCCTCCCTGGAAGTGTTTAAGACCAGGCTGGATGAGGCTTTGAGCAACCTGGTCTAGTGGAAGGTGTCCCTGCTGATGGCAGGGGGGTTGGAACTAGATGATCTTTAAGGTCCCTTCCAATCCTAACCATTCTATGATTTTCATGGTGTAAATGTAGCTGTTTCCTGACGGCACTACTGAATTCAACTTCTGTTTGTTACATCCAGGAGTTTGATAAAATGCACATTTAAAAAAAAAAAAAAAATCACTGGAGTTCTTCAGGGGATAGTGTTTTGGGGTTTTTTTTCTTTCTTGAATGAGGTGATCCATATCAGCAGTAAGGAAATAATATGCAATTAGAGATATGTAAAATGATAAAACTGAAGTCATATTCCAAACTAAAAAAATTAAGCTCTGATCATACTGGAAATGGAACTTTTGATTATTAAGTTAATATTTAATATAATTCCATACATGAACTTGCAGCTTTTGATATTTCAACTTTTTGATTTGGCTTCAGTAGTTTATCCTGTCTCCATGATCGTGGTTTTTTACAGTCTCAAGAACATAAATCCACTTTCAGATTTTTCAGTGTGGAAGTTGCTGTGGATATAATAGACTATGAGTATCAGCGTCCAGTGTTTCTGAGACCCTGCTGGCTTTGTATGTTTGTCATGTCTATTTGAGGTGTCTTTAGCCTTTTTTCCAACATCCCTTGAACTTGGTGACAGAAGTCATATGTTGTTTTTTTTTTATATGCCAGATATGAAAAAAGTTAGTGTTCCTTTTTTTATAAGTTTCTTGAGTAGCAACAGCAACAAATCAATTATCTGTTTGTCTATGATATTAGTAAAGAACAAAAATTCATGCAGGAAACAAAAAATCCGATAAGACAAATTTTTATAAAAAGATGTTTCAAAATAGTATCTTTGCCATTCAATAAGGCTGAAATACAGCCAACAGAGTCCTTTAGAAATATACCTCTATCAAAATAAACATTTTGAAGAGAGGAAAAAAGTGCAGGAGAAAAATAACCCAATAACCACCACCCCTTCATTTTTTACTTTTTTTTGTAGAGGTTGTGTCGTTATTAGTGTCTGAGGAGAGAAGAGATCTCCTGAAAAATTACTACTACAATATTTATGTTGGGGCAGAGTTACTGCTTGACTACATTGTAGCAGTATAGAAAGCAGGGAGAACAGGTTGGTCAGAAAGATCAGTTTCTTTGTGAGCTGTTTTGTTGTTGTTTTCTCCAGGCCTGTGCAGTCTGTCATCTTCAGCTGATAAATCCTTTTGACACTGCATTTTGTTATGCGAGTTTAGCAGAATTCTGCAGCTCTTATTTTGTATTTCAGTGTGAATCTCATTGTCTCCTGAAGTGAGTCCTGATTTACTGAGAGAATAAGCACTGGGCAGTCTGCATAAGTATTGCAAAGTCAGTTTTCTCTGCTGTCACTCTTGAGTTCCATCAGGGTCTGCTCTTTGCTGGAAACTCCCTGTCCCTCAGGGCAGTGAGTACTCAGCGCTAAGAAAGCTCCCCACCTACCCTTTGTGCAAGTCTGCAGGGTGACCATGGGCTCTCTGGGTATTGCACTGCTGTAACTTACTTCTGCATCCTTCTAGGACTTTAGCCTATTGCCAATGGGTGGAAAACCTTCATGAGACACAAAAGATGGTTTCGCTTTTCGGCCCCTTCAGCGATTTGCTGAAGTGGATCCTCTGCCACCTGACCAAAGGGATTGTGAAGCGGGAGATGTATGGCCACGGCATCGGCCGCTTCTCGGAGGAGGAGATGTACACGCTGATGGAGAAGGACATGCGGACTCTGGCAGGCCTCCTGGGTAATGTACACCGAATTATGCACCTTCTCTTTGTTCACAGCCTGCTGTCTGCAGGATGAGATCGACCATGAGTGCTTCCTGGCCACATGATTATGTACACAAGTAATCTCGTTTTATCAGTAGGCAGAGTCCCTGCTGCTGCTGTCACTTGGTGCCACCCTTGCTCTGGCAGGGACAGTGTTTCTTGCCCCGCTGTTTGCTACCAAATTGTGTCTCTGGAGGGGTAAGCAGTTTTCTTCTCTGAGTGCTGGATATGCATATCTAGAGGAGCAGAACATGACCTGTGATTCTTGGAAGAGCATTTTGCTATGTGAATTTAGGAAAATGTAGGGTTTTGTTCTGCAGACCAAAGCTCTTATTTATATTTTGGGAGGGCCTCATTTTTTCTTCATGGGACTCATGGCTGTTTGATGGGTCATTATGAGGCTCCCGTTTGAAAACCCTTTGCAGGTGTTACTTTGATGAGCTGGACTTTGTTGTATTTGGTAGGTGTTAGCAGTTTTGGGGCAGATTGTTACTTCTTTTGGGCTTGTGTCTCTCTTGTGCAAGGAGCCAAGAGAGATGTATCTGCTTTGTTCCTTGTTATCACTTTAAAGAGGTGGCTGAGTGGAGGGCAAGAGGGATGCCTTCCTGCCCTCTGTTCCAGAGGAAGGACGTATTGCACATCCTCTAAATAGGTAAGTGTGGAGCGGATGGAGGGAGTAAGGTGAGGAGAACCCAGCAGAAAGCAGAAACTGAGTGCTTGCTGAGAAAGAAGGAAGAGAGATGCTTCTGGACTTCCAAGGTATTTATTTTGGAAAGGAAAGTATTTTGCAGAGGACCTAGATGGGGCTGCGTAGAGTTTTCTGTAACCTTGTTTTCTGAAACAAACCTGCAGAGTTGCTGGATTGGGAGCGGGGTGGAAAACAGACACCTGATGCACGGGCACAACGGGCAAGGAGGAGATTTGTTGACAGCTCCTCTTCTGTCAATGCTTTCTCATACTGCATTTTGTTTGTTAACAAATTAGGTTACCTATTCTAGTGCCTCTTCAAAGAAAACCTGGATTTGGAGCTTAAGAGGTCCCTTTTCTTTCTGGGGGAGAAAGGAAGGGAGTAGCTCATTTTAGAAGAAGAGGTCTGGGCACATCTGCTGCAGAGCTGTGACCAGCTCGAGGTGCCCTCAACTGTGGGGTTACTGTTGCCGTAGCTTTGAGGTTGGCACTGTATGGTTCCATGTACCATGCACAGAGGACCAGGTTTGGCATGGGAGCTGGAACAAGTTCAACCTGTGAGCTCAGCAGAGTCCCCTAGTTCTGGGTAGGCAACGCTGGCAGGCTGAACAGAGCTGCAGTGGATGTGTCTGTGCTCAAGTCTGCCAAGAGTAGATAGACATAGCCTTCAAGAGAAGACTGAAACACGTTCCTGAGTAAAAGCCTCTTGGTTTCCTTATTTGCTTATTTCTCTCTGTCTCTGGAGTCTATGCTGACACTCAGGTTTGTAAAGTTTCGAGTTCAAAGGGGTCATTAAACCATCTAGACAGATCTCTGTGAACTGGACTACTCGGTTGCTGTCTTGAGGCCTGTGTCTTTTTTCTGGCTGAAGCATGTCTTTCTAGAAGGCACCCAGTTTTAATTACGAGATTTCAGCAGGTGGAGGTACCACCACTTTCGTTAGTAATTGGTGGCAGATGTTAATTACCATCAAAATCTCTTCAAAATCTCTGTGTTTCACATCACAGTTTGACTGATTCCAGCCTGCAGGCAGATGCTCCTCCTAGTTCTTCTTCCCTCCCTGGGTGGCTAGGGTCATCTCTTTGTGAAGGTAAATGCTATAATCAAACAGTCTCTTACTTTTGTTTTTGATGGGAAAAATCACTGCAAATACTCAAGAATAAGGTGTTTTCTTCATTTTTTTAAATCTATATATATATATACATATATTTTATCAGAAAAGATTTTATTTTTACCTCCAGATTATTGAAGAAAATGTTGTGCCTGGTGTACTTCAGAAAGCCTTGATGGGCATCTGCTGTATTCCTCTTCTTTTACTACATTACCAGCTGAATATGTTACACTTTTTTTTGTCTTCCCCTCTGAAATGGATGTCAGATTGGTCAGTGTGCAGTTAGGTGCATCGTTGTATTTGCCCTTTTGATTAATGGTGTGTTTGTCTGCTTTTCTGCAGTTGCCTTAATTTCTCATTAACAGCAGCATGCTCAGGTTTTCTCCAGCCAGCTGTTTATGGTTGGGTCTAGTAACTGCAGCCTTCAGGTGGTATCCTGGGATGGGGACAGGAGGTGGGATGAGGGCTTCCAGCCTGACTGGAGACTCCTGTGTTTCACAGGGTGGAGGAGGAGGCAGTCAGTTAACCTGCTGCCTGCCCAAAAAACCTTTGTGAGATTCCCCTCCACATACATGTGCCCATGTATCTTCGTAGAAGAGGAAGCAGTTGGGATTTGGCTGTTAATTAGAGGGCAGTCTTAAGAGCTGAAAAAGGATACCTATCACACAGAGTAGCTGCACATACAAAACTGCAGCTGTCAGTCATCAGGCATATCAGATTAATGCTCCCCATTTTATAACATAAACCATTCACATGGGAACAAGAATAACTTTGAAATTCCAAGAGCTGCTTCCAGAGAATGATAACTTGGCAGCTGCCAGGTCTTGGGACACTCATTTTGACATTCCTAGTCACATCTTGGATGCTTTTTTCCTTTCTTTTTCATTTCTGAGAATCCTTTTTCCTTCTCCCATGTACCTGTTTCCCTAACAGACTCCTCCAGATCTGTTATAAACATGGAAATTGAAACTAATCCTCTGGTGATGGATAGGCCTTCCCTGTTGATAACATCTTGCTCTCTGTTCTGCAGTCTTTAAACCACAGATGTAATTTCCTTGTTTCCTACTGCCTGGTAGTAGTGTAAGGAAGTGGAGATAACTGGGCATATGAACTAGCAATATATAAAAATACACATTTTGGTAATTATTGAAAAGCTGCAAGTGAGTGAGAGGTGCCTGTAAATCTGATGCCTTCTCAGCTGTCTGCCTGCCTCAGGCTTGTGGGTAAATAGGGATTTTGAGCAGGAAGTTACAGGGCAGCAGCTGCCTGAATCAACTTTGGAAAAGCATTTGATGTTTAGTGGAGGGCTGGGATGCTCAGAGCTGAAACACAGAGGTGGGATTAACCTGAACAGGAGCCTCTGATGCCAGTTGAAATGCCCTGCAGCCGCCTGCATGGGCTGTATGTGCTGCTGTGGAAGGGTGCAGATCTCCCTGGGTGTGTCTCATAGATCTGTCTCTTGCTGGGGTTTCTTGACCCAGTGTTGAAGTAGCTGCTTTTTAATCCTCTGGTGCATGTGTTCATAAATAGCAGAGCTCTGTGCTCTCAAATCCCCGGGCAGTACATGTTTGCTCCAAGTCCAGTGACCAGGTGGTTGCATTTCTGTTGGATTGGCCAGGGGATGCAGGGAGGTATTTGAGTTTGTTAGCACTGTGGCAGCTGTGATGTGGGAAGCGCTCTGTTATCTGGCATAAACCTACACACTGAGAGATGATGTCTGGTCTGTCAGAAAGTCTTCTGGAAAAAAGTTGCACTGGAAGTTTTGGGAACAGATTGGAACTGGTAGAAGAAAATGTGCATGGGGTTCATGTTATGCAGCGCAGGGTGACCTAAAACCAGATTTATGGTTTTATGGAACCACAGCTCTATTTTCCTCCTCTTCCCCTTTGTTTCCTGAAGTCGTGGGGTGTCTTGCCTGGGGAACCACTCGGCAAAAGAGTGGGATGGTTCAGCCCTCACTCGCTGCCTGCCTTAGTTGTAGGAAGATGGAAATGGCAGTATTACTTCCAGTAGTGCCAATAAATGGCAATATTATTTGATTCTATGATTCTGTGATTTGAGCAGCCTGGTCTAGTGGAAGGTGTCCCTGCTCATGGCAGGGGGGTTGGAACTAGATGATCTTTAAAGTCCCTTCCAATCCAAACCATTCTATGACTCCCAGCAGAACATCATTATGGATTGAGTCTCAGACCCAGTTGTATGGTGTTAAATTCCTAGTGTTGGCATATAACTGTGGTTTGGGGACCAATTTTTGAGCTGTGTTTGAGATCAATGAATGCTAGACATCGCGTAAATACTGAAAAGACACACTTACCTGTATGTAGTTTTCAAACAGTAGGTTGATGCAATCGTGAAAGAGCTGGGGAGAGTTAACTCTATGTTAAAATTACACGTGACAGGCTAGAGGAGGTGGTTGTTCCTGGTTACTCCTGAGCGCTACTTTGCTACACTATAGTGCAGGGAGAAGGCAGCATCCAGTTGTTCTTAGAATTTGCTGCATTTTACTGCTGGACATTTTTTCTAAACTCACTGAAGAACCCTAACATTTAATAACCTGCTGAATTACAGGAGCTTATATTGAGCGGGAGAAGAATGTCCTGGGGAGATGGGATAAGTGGATTTGGAGAATGCAATTACATACCATGTTTCACAGAGTTTATAGCACTTTGGGCCAAGGCAGGGACAGTGCAACCATCTAACCTGAGCTCTGCTGTACCACGTGTTTCACCTGCGTGCCCTATGTGCCGTCTTTGCTCCACATCTTGTGCCTGGGACGCGGAAAGGAGTTTATACTGGATGTTTCTTTGCAAATGGTGGCTTTAAAATGTGGTTTTCTTCCCTGTTTTAGGTAGTTATCCATCTGTTTGTGCTGTGGTGGCCACTTAGGACCATCATGGCATTGGGGTGCCCAGAGTGATAAGCAGAATAGCAGTGTGGAGCAGACATGTCCCTCCTCTGGACCAGGCCAGTCCCAAGCAGCTGCTGTTTCACTTGCCTGCCTGTGTGCCTGACATGCCTCTGCTTGGTCCCTGCCAGGAAGAAACCAGCATCTGGGGATGGGAACACCGCACTGGTGGTGTGTGAGAGGACCTGTTCGCTCCTGCCTACAGCTGTGTCCTCCTCCTGGAGATACAGGTCATTTCTGAGCAGTCACTGCCAGTCTGGTGCCTCGGTTTTATCCTGAGCAAACGGGGGGAGAGGAAAGCTTTGGGTATGACTTTCCTTTTTCACGTGATCAGATGAGTAGCCTGAAACTGGATCTACATGCATGAGAGATACAGGGTCACCAGCTTCCTTCAGCGGCTATATTAATGATTTTGGTGCAAACCCAAAATAGTTCAGCCACGGATCAAAGGAGAAAATCATTCTTTCAGGCACCTGCTGGCTGCAGAGAAGATTTTAAATGCAGCAAAACTAGTGCGTGCTGCCAGCTGTGACGAGCAGAGGAGGTTGCTTGGCCAGTGGTAACTCTGTAATTGGCCTGGTTATAGAAGTGGTGAGCACAGGGGAAGCTGCAGGAATGGATCTCACCAGCTGAACCGTAGCAACAGCTTTTGAACCATACTCAACATTGAATCTCCATCTTTGAATGAGCAAACCTTTTCAGCAGAGTGATTTCAGTGAAAAAAATTGCTAAAGATATAACCAGGGAAATGATTTTTTTTTTATTATTTTTTAAACTGGAGAGAGGTGACATCCAGTTGAGAAACATTTGGTATTGTATTTGCAGGTGACAAGAAGTACATTATGGGACCAAATGTTTCCACTGTTGATGCCACTGTCTTTGGGCATCTGGCACAGGCAATGTGGACACTACCAGGGACTCGACCAGAGAGACTAATCAAAGGTAAGAAAGCTGAAGTGAGCTCTGATGGAAAAACTCCTGGTGGCATTTGCCTTGTTTAGACTTGGAGCGCCTTGTAATGACATTTGAAGACTGCAGCAGCCCTTCAGCTGCATCACAGGCTGTTCTTGCCTTTGATGTAGCATTTGTATCCTGTAATGCTGCTTTCTCTTAGAGTTCTTGTTTGTTTTCTCTTAAATGTTCTACATGGTAATTGTTTCTATTCCTGTACTTGATGTTTTCCCCATTTAACATGTCAAAGACTGAATGCCTCTGGAGAATGAATGCTGGGTAAGGTATGAGAAGACAGAAGTACGGCCATGAGCCAAATTCTGATGAACTGAGTAGTTCCACTGACGTTAGAACCGCAAATGCTATTGCCCCACTAAAATTATGGCCTTTGCTGTTATTGAAGATGCTGGGCAAGGAAAAAGTCCAGCCTGACTTTGGAGTCACTGTGTTTTTGCATGAATTGGAAACCAACATACCCCTCCCCTCCACACTTTTTTTTTTTTTAATTCTTTTCTTCTGGGGTGTTGCAGCCATGTGGAAGTATCTTTGCATCCGTTTTCAGAATAAAACCCCACAGTATGAAAAATGGGAAGAGCTAAGGAGGAAAAGGGTGTAAAATAGATGTAAAAGGAATGAATCTGACCTGTAGATCTACTCTGTGCAAGAGAGAGCTATTAAAGCAACAGTTAGGAGATGTAGACTTTGCTCATTATTAAAACTTTGAGGAAAAAATACTTGAGAACATAAGTATTGTCTATATAGTTCTTCCCCATGATGTCTGGGGAATCATGGATAAAATTCTAAAGGGTCCATGGCTTTCAAGAAGGGATATTATGTTGGTGGAACTTGTCTCGAATGAAAATGAATAGATAGTAATAGATGCAAATACCCAAGCAGTGTGGATGATTCTCTGTACCCATCCCCCTCCCTATGCTATTGTGGTTGCGAGTTTCACATACACATTCCTGTTAATATGCTATTATCTCTTTATTCTTTGAAGACTTTTCTCTATGTGTCAACATAAGGCTTAAGGTACTAAGGCTAAGAACATTAGGGGTGAGACTGACCATATAAAAACTTCTAAAATGTGAATTTATCTTGCAGACAACGGTGCCCTCTGGTGGTGGAAACCCCAAATTCACTGTGTTTTAAGAGACAAGAGTATTTTATAGATAGGATCAAATTCTGTCTTTAGAAACCAGGTTTCTGCAAAATAAGCAAGAGTTTCACTATGAAAAAACTTAAAATATTAGTATCTGATCTTGATTTCTTTCTGTAGAGGTTGAATTTGGGATAGTTATTTTGCTACATGCATTTGTGTCCATTCCAGTGTAACCCTTCTTGTTGTATGTAGGTTAATCATACATGTTTTAAGTTACATGAAAGTTACAAACAGAGCCTCTAAGAGGATTGATGGGATCTTGGAATTTTGAAACCTCTTTGGAAAGAACCTGCAGAATTTGTTTCCAAACAGTGCTAACATGTTTCTGCATCAGCAGGTGAGTCAGAGCATTGTTGACTGGATGTATTAACTGGAGTCTGTTGTGCTGTGTCGCAGGTGAGCTGATTAACCTTGCTATGTACTGTGAAAGAATAAGGAGGAAATTTTGGCCAGAATGGCATCATGATGATGACAACACTCTGTATGAATCTGAGGACAGCAGTGAAGCAAGCAAGACGTACTCCCCTTTGCAGGACTTCAGTTTTTATTCAAGGACAGAAACATTTGATGAGGAAGGGAACAGTATTTCTCAAACCCCTGACACAGATTACACTGGACACTCCCTCTTTGATTCGGATGTGGACATGGACGAGTACAGAGATCACGAACAATGCAAGTGATGCATACAAGCATCTTCCATCTTGCAGACAAGCTGTTTCTTGGGATCAGTCTGATTTATTTTCTCTTCCAGGTCAGGAAGAGGTTTGTACCACTTTGGAAGAGACCGTTGTGCTTGATTCATCTGTCATATGCTACCTGGACTATTTCAACCTTATTTCATTTTGTGTAACTGTTCAGGTGGAGCCAAGGTAAACAGTTACTTAAAACACGTGTTGGCAAACTGGAGGTCCAGAGGGCAACAGGGCCTTTCACTCTGCGTTTTTGTTCATGTTCAAAAACAGATCCCGCAACCAGATTGGACAGATCTCTGGGAAGTGGAGCATTTGCCAGAGCTGGTTTGTGTTGATATCTTATCTTTACAGGAACGGGTTGAGAACAAAAATGGAAGAAGCATGACTGGCACACCTTTCTCCCGTGGAAGAAAATGATTGATGCTGTATTGATTTGGCAGAGTTTCAGGGGGATTTTATTTGACAGATACCCACACTCTGACTGCATATGTTAATACTATACAGTGTCTGCAGGAAAGAACTGCTCCTAGTTCTTTAGGAGACAGTCAAGGAAGGCAGAAGGAAAACATTCCTACAGAAAGGAGCTCTTTATTTTTTCTCATTCTTCACAGAAGGTTGAAATTGTTACTCTAGAATATTTTTATTGGGAAGGGAAATGTCAGTTTTAGTGTGTAATCTCCCAAACACTCATCTGGAATGTGTGTTGGCCAAAGACTGCCTCAGGCATCTAAATTTCTTCTGTGTTTTTGAATTATTATGTTTTTACTTCCTGCCACTGGCTGCTATTGGTAGGCAAGGCTAATGAATTGGGATTTGTTACTAAAAGTCTGGTGCATCTCAGCAGTGGGCACTTTGTGCTCTTTACCAACAGACATGTCAAACCATGAAGTTTCCAAGGGGATTTGGGGTATTTCTAGATGTGGGATGTTGTGTGAATGCAAGATGTGTGGCCCAGGCAGTGGAGTGCTTTAGAGCTGCCTAGGAAGGTGTGTCAGTGGGTGCTGGGTACTGTGCTGGCTTACGGTGCAGTCCCTAAAGCTGATGCACGGGAGACAGTTGGGATAGGACAGCTGCATCAGCACTACCATCTGTGGAGGTTTCCAGGTGCTGAAAAAGTAACCAGAAGGGTGACCAGAGTTGATTTTTAAGGTGCCTTTGCTAGCACATCCACGAATCTGGAACACCAAATCCAGAATGATTGCCCAGCTGCTGACATTTTTCATGTTTGTCTCCCTAAATGGGGGTTAGAGGTGAGAATGAATCTGTGGGATTTACTCATGGCTTTGAAGGTAAGCATGCACGTCAGTGTTGCTTGGCCATAACTAGTTGGTTTTGAGTAGAGATAAAGCATATAGAACATATAGACAGTTGTGGTATTTGTAAACGTGCATACAGAATTGGGTATTTGCCTGCAGACTTTGCTGGTAGCCTGTTTAAAAACGTTTTAATTATGACTTTCTCAGTGAATTACATTTAGATGAATTGGGATCCCTCAGTAGAATTTTTATGTGTTGCTTGTGCCATATGTTCTGGGAACATATAGTGCAGACAACTGCTGTAGGATGTTAATTGTTAGTAGTCCTCATGGTCTGGAGCTTGAAATAACTCCAGCTTTCAAAGAATACCTCTCTTTCTTGGATCATGGAGTGTCTCCTGCAGATGAAAGCGCTTGCTTTGGGGAAACACTGAGTTAGCTGTGGCTCTGAAAGCAGGGGGACACCTGTCTGCAGTGAGTTCCCAGGTCACTTCGTGCATGGGAACCACCGCAGCAAGAGCTGACAAGTTTGGTGTGATCTAAGATGGGTGTGAACTTGCACCTGTTTCAGTTCCCCAGGTATGTCTTTGGAGCCATATTCCGGTTCGTGGTCTCTGTTGTTGTGAGCAAGTGTCATTTGCAAAGTGAACCAAAACTGAGAAGGAGGAAGATAACATCCAGTTATCCACTTTGGACCCTTCTTGGGAAACTAAGCACAGGAATAGGGCACAAGAAGATAAGTCTTGGGCTTGAAAGCACAAGAGGTGATGGCCTGAAATGGCTGTGAAACTTCATAGCCAAGTAAGTCAGGTCAGATGCTACCTGCAAAGATGTAGGTATTGGTATTCTGGATAAAAGGCATCCATGTCAAAAAGCTCCTCTCTAAATAGAGTTGCGCGTTGGACGTTCTGATGGAGATGTTCTCACTCATTTACCCAGGTGTGTTTGAAGGCTGTGCTTTCTCCACCTTTTCAGTGTTGGGAAGGTGTGCTTGCAGCGCAGCAGATGAGTCCCAGTTATTAAAAGACCAGCTTGAGTTAACAGTGTCACCTTAATAATTTCGGCAGGCTGGAAGATCTGTCTGTGGCAATGGCCCTTGCGACGTCCCAAAACGCGGCTTAACGAGAAGTTGGTGACATCATTTCACTCTCCCGTGCGTGTGTAGCTGGATCTGGATTCTGTGTGGCTGCACACAACGCTGGGCATGGAGACAGGAGATGCCAACGTGGTGTGCACAGCTGGTGTCAGCCACGGCCTCGTTTGCCCACCAGCACATGGAGCTGCTGGCATGGCGGGTAGAGCTGATGCCTCCGCACACGGCACAGGGACCTGCACTGAGGATGCAGGTGCCACACGAGGCCGCGTTTACGTTCACACCTGATGTTTTCTGCTTTTGTTGCAGGTAATCAGCGTGCCTCAGCAGAGGCTGAACCTCAGTCTGGCTGAGTAATGGGCTTTGCCCCTGGGGAGGGTGAAGAAGAAGAGGGTCAGAAGAGGTTGTGGAAGGAGAAGCAGCTTTTTGCTGTCAGCTGGATTGTTTCAGGGTTTTAGTCAGTGGGGTGAATATTTTTCAGCTCGTCACACGCCTTCCCTCTCTGGGGGGACGACTCAGGTTACTTAAGAGGAGAAGTTAGTTGGGGAAAGTTGTCTTTCTCCTCATGACAGCTACTCTAGATGAGGTCTATATTTTTGTGTTTGGCCGTGTTTCAAACTAGAGGTGAAGTCAGGAAACAGTGTCTCTTTAGGAACTTATAGGTGTTGTATTTTGTCCAGGTTTGGTAGCAGATCCTCACATTTATTTATCCTATCCAGAAACAAATACTGACTGTTAGTCCTGTTTAAAAGGATTTAATCCAAGCTTTTTTCTTTTGGAAGCTTATCTTGGCAGAATATTCCTGGGGGGGGAAAAAAAGGATGTTTAAAGAAAATTTTGCTTTTTTAACATCTATGAAAAAATGCTGGTTCATTTTGGTTTGCATGGGGAAAGAGAAGACCAAGCCAACAAGAGTTTTCTTCAATAAAAACAGAACAGATTTTTTTTAACTTTCTAAAATTCTGCTAAAAGCAACATTTTCATAGTCCTGCACTGTTTTTTTTATTCCCCTTCAATCATCTTTATTTTTTATCTTGGTGCTGAGACCATCTACAGAACTGGAAATAGACAGAGAGCATCTTTATTTCCTCTGGTTTCTTCCTCGCTGATCAAAATTGTAAGCAAGTCTGTTGTAGGGATGCTGGAGGTCTTGGCTGTGCTGCAGGTGGGGGTCAGGGGGGGACATCAGGTGTCTCTGCAGCAGTGAAACCCAGGACAGCTGTGGAGTGCTGACTGCCCGGAAAGTGAGCTGGGTTGGCCACTTCAGGCTGGAGTTGGAGGGTGAAGGAGGCCACGATGTTGTGTCTGACATGACACTGACCACACAAGGTTTTTCCCTGATTTGGGGTCCTGCTGCCGCGACCGGACACTCATTGCAAGGTGATGTCAGGAAGGGTTCAAGGACCCCTGCCCAAGAGTCACATATCTCTGAGGTCCCCAAGAGCACTGCAGCCAAACCTGGTTGTGGTCTCAGCCATGGCTCTGGGCTGGTTTTGGGTAGATGACAGTACATGGTCCTGGCAGGAGGAAAGCTAGTTTGGGGCTCTTCCATGCTGTCCATCCCCTCCTGAAATAGGGCAGGGGTCCCTTGCATGGTCAGGGGAGGAGGCAGTGGGTGGGAAAGGAGAGGATGGGATGTGGGGAGGGTGCCAAGTGATGGGTCACCGCAGGAAGATGTGGGCTGGACCGGTGGCCTGGCCAATGCTGTTCCAGCAGCTGGGCAGAAGCCTTGCCCTGCTGACGAGCTGGAGCACAACCCCTGATCCTGGTGAGGAGACAGCACAGTTCCTCCTGGTTACTTACCTCAAATGCTGCCCAAGGCCGAGTGCTGCCTTTGGTCCAGTTGTGCTGCTTTAAGAGAATGGTTAATTGGTCTGCTCCTCGTTTGGCAAATGGGAATGTAAAGCAAGCCCTGCGTTTCCAGGAGAGTTAGATTGGAAGCAGTCTGTTGTTTCCTCATGTGAATTACAGCGTTTGACTGTGTAACGCTGTCATGTCAGGAGGGATTTGTTTACCCCTGTCGGCTCTGTCAGCAGAGCTCACTGTTACCAAGCGGGGGAAACAGACGCTGGGATGTATAGGTCCTACAGAAATCCTACAAATGTGGTGCTTGATTTAAAAACCAAACCAAACCTGATGTTTCAGATCTGGAGGACTGTTCCCATCCAGTTATAACACTGCAAGTCACACGTTTTGATCTTTAAAACCTTGGCAGTGTCCCTCCAGATCTATATTCTCTTTGAAAAAATATTGCCTGAAATATTTCTGCAGCAACAGTTCAGGCACAAATTTCCTTTTGTCAGTGATGTCTGCTCGAGTAATCATGACAGTTTCATAGTGTTTTCATTGAAGGGGCTGTATCTGTCAGATACTAAGCCTTACAAAATATTGCCTGCTGGAAAAGTGTGTTATGTGCAGATTTATGCAGGGCAGCTCACCAAGTGAAATTTCTGTGGCAGGGGATGAATTCAAGTGAGTCTTGTCCTTAGATGTTTGAGTAAGAATTTGAATCTGTTTCCTGACAAGTAGCAATTTAGCATCACCCCTCCCCCATCCCCAAATACTGCAAAATTATGAATTAGGCATGTGATCTAAATGAAGCTAATTATGCTCTCTAAATGTAGAATTACGTTGGATGGCCCAGTAGCTGGCATTTGGAAATGGAGATAAATATATATATATATATATATATATGGCATCAGTGTGAGTTGTGCCATATGCATCAGTGGCTGTGATCTGGAGGAGCACCCAAGGTAGTAGCGTCTAACGCTGTGGACCAGGAGGACTAGAGGTCCCTTTGAATGACCGTGGTGGTTTTCAGCAAGGTGCTACAGGTCCTTGTGCACGCTGTGCTGTGCTTTGGGTGTCCGTTAGTGCTGGGTAGACAGCGCAGGGCCTCCTCTGGCAGCTGTGGCTCTGGTGAG